GGAATATAAAGTTGGTTTATTTGATCAAAGTTAAAATAGATATGTTGTTATCTCTGGTAACTTTTAATGGACTTTTGCTGACCATGACTGAAATGACAAGGTTTTAAGAATTTGTTTATAGATAAGAGATGGGATATGGGAAGAAGAGATCATTTGTTGTATTTTAAGAGAAGGTGATAAGTTACTAAAATTGTTTATATTTGTTGTGATGAAGGGGGAGGTCATTTCTTTATATATTTTATCTCTGGTAACTTTTAATGGACTTTTGCTGACCATGACTGAAATGACAAGGTTTTAAGAATTTGTTTATAGATAAGAGATGGGATATGGGAAGAAGAGATCATTTGTTGTATTTTAAGAGAAGGTGATAAGTTACTAAAATTGTTTATATTTGTTGTGATGAAGGGGGAGGTCATTTCTTTATATATTTCTCTTTTTTTCTGTACTATATTCTTATTTTTTCTTTCTATTTTTCTTTCTATTTTTTTCTCTTCTGCACCTTCTATTTTTTCTTTTTTTCTTTTTTTTAGTTTGTATTAGTTTTTTTATCATTGTAATTGTAATTTTTAATAAAGTTAGTATTAAAAAATATATAGGGTTTCAATAGGCCCTTTGGGATTCAGTGAAAAGGAGAAAGAGGATTGGATGTCAGCTACATGGAGATGACACCGGACCCCCAAACCCTGATGCAGAATGGACAGAATAAACTCTTGTGGAGTGCCACAAATCAAGAAATGTAACTCAAATAGAAATTGAACTGATTTGCCTTTGACTTCTAGTTTGACTGTGGACTTATATCTTCCAGCTGAAGAGGATTCCAATCCAAGCAGTGCTGTAGAAATGCCATATTATATGATGTATTATAAGTAGAAAAGCAATTTTTAAGAACTTTTTCTAAACATTAGAAATCATTATTAATATGGATTTTACACAGATTATATTAGCCAAACTTTAGTGTAATCTTGGCAGGCTCTGGGGGTTAAAAAATGGGGCTAGGAGAATGTATCACTTTCAGTTTTAGGCAAATGCCAAAGAGCCTGATATTATATGAGATTTGTGAAGTAGCTTTATCAGAATACTTGCATTTAAATTAAGAATTGTATTGACTCTAAGGCTGACATAATTTTGAAGAAGTATAATTTCCATATGTTACATACGGTAATATATTCTTGGATGCAATTCTTTCCTCTCTGGTATTTACCATTTCTATAAGAAAGCCCGTGCTATGAATTCAGCTGCCTCTTCGTTTTTATATAAAAGTGCTATTTCTCCAATGGTTTTGTTGAGAATTTTGTATTTTTTTAATAACATTAATAAAAATGAAAAAGTACTTGAAAAATGTGCTGAGCCAGTAGAAGTAAATTTACCAATAGAGGTGAATATGTGTAGCTCAGGGTTGAACTGTGGAGTCCTTGGGGTTCTCTGAGCTTGGTTCTTTTCTTGCAAACCCTCTATGCCGCAGCACATAAATAGAGAGCAAACCCCATCCCATTTTAGCACTGAAGATGCTACCTAGCCAGGTAACAAGACATTTGGAAGAAAACAACCAAGCTCAGAGAACCCCAAGGACTCTACAGAAGTAAATTTACCATAACTATCTCTTGGGGGCAAAGTGGGGATTGTAAAAATGGTTCAGCTAGTAACTGTAAATCATCATTACTATTATGATTAAAAGTGTACTTTTTTCAATCATACATTATAATATTTGTTTTCAACAAATTAATTTCAAAAGCAACACCCCAAATGTTGTTTATGTATAATCTGTCCACTTTTAGTATAATATAAATGAATATAAAACAATAACCTACAACCTATCATATCATATACTGTGTTGCTGAAGAACTGATAATATATTTCACACACACACACACACACAAACACATCTAATGCTTTTTTTCTGTGATAAACTATTTCTTCAGTATTTTTAACTAGTATACATTTTCTACCATAAATAACTACAGTTACCTGTAGCTATAACAAGTAAGATAAATAAAAGTTAATCTGTTGACCCAGGAAACCTCTGGGTTCGTGGACCTGGCGTGCCATGCCCAATTAAACATGCAAGGTGGAAATCTCTTTAGTAACGTTATTCTGCAGAGTAAAGGGCATTTACAAATTAATTTTCAAGGCAAGCCCAGCACTCCATGCAAATCACTGGGTTTTTAAACAGCTACAATCACAAAATCATTACATCATAGGTTACTGCAAGTTTATTGGTATACACAGTTAAAACACTCTTAAGAAGATGGGTACTAATACCCAGAGGGTGGGCACTGGTTGCTGCTAAGGGAAATATGAGCTGAGCTAGCTGATACCTTATTTATCTAAGTTACAAGCGCTTCCTGCTGCATTCCATTCTCCAAGAGAGGGCTTTTACTTCTCTCTCTAGTTGATACCAGGCACAGTACACAAAGGGAAGGCAATTCAAATACAGTTTGCAACTTTGCAATCTGCTCAGCAACTAGTGAAGGACAATTCTGGGGCCATACATAATGTTCTGCTGTTTTCTTCAAATTAACCCTAAAATCACCATTCCATCAAATGGAGTTGTGGGCAGCATAATAAAAAAAGTGACTTTTAACATAATGCAGGTGGCTAATTTTTAATTACCTTGCTTATCATTTCAGTAAATAGTTACGTGTTGCTGACTTATTTAAAAGTTTATGAATGTTATCCCAAGGATTCCTCTGAATGTCCTCAGAAACATTCTCATTAGAATTGTGTTCCAAACTCAGATGAAGCCCAAATCCCAAAGTGGATTGAGGGAGGAGCAGACAGGTGTAATAAATTATGAGCTATTTCAAAAAAAGTCTGCAAACTCCTTCCGTAGTTGTTATCCAGCACACTGCATATTATGACACCACAACAGCTACAAAAGATAAAGCAAAATCCCACTATTTGGACAATTATATAAAATGCCATGGTAAATAGAAAGAAAGAGGAGGAGAATTTGACCCAGAAAGAGAGTCAAGTCCGATGCTATGAGCTAGGAACGTCACCTCACCCTTGTGGTACAGGATAGCCTATTTCCGTCAGTTGAGAGCTGGGTCAGTACAGCTTGCAAGAGCCTATGTTTCAGGATGCACGGAGCTCTGATCTCTACAGAGAATTACCCTACAGTGCTCAGAAGGCCTGAAGGGAAGGAGAGGCTGCTTTGCAATTATGTTCTGTCTTTTTTTTTAGTTAAAGAAAAAAGGGAGGAACACAGAAAGAATAGAATATGCTTTTTTTTTAAGTCCACAGGGAGAATCTTTCTAGGAAGAATGAAGTTGTTTTCCAAACCACATTCCCAGTATCAGTAGAAATTCAGATTTCTATTAATATCTGAGCGAATTAATCCTAATTCTTAGCTATATTCTATGCCCAGTTAATCATAAATTATTTCACTGCTCAGATTCAACATTCTATTTAACGATAAGTTATGAAAACTAAATAATACTGGATATTGTATTGTCGAAGCCTTTCACATACGATGGCTGGTGTGGGTCTTCTGGGCTGTGTGGCTGTGTTCTGGAAGTTTTGTTTCCCAACGT